CCTTAAAAATCGTCATGAAGATGTAGCTCTTCTTTTTATGGTCATGCAGCTATAGAGACTATGATTAGAACTAACACTGGATTTTGCAGAATTAACCACGAGTGGAAGTGAATCCTCCGATGCTGCCTTCGAAGAACTCTGCTGAAAGGTCTTCAGCAAACTCATGTTGCCATATGAATTACTTTCTTCGTATGCCGTACTTCGTTGCCAAAGGGGACGCTATAGTGCGTAATATTTTGAATGTCATCGCATATTTTATTTTTAGTAAATGGAATAAAGTTACATCTAGGACTGTCAAGATGATCCGCGACCCGTATTTTAATTCAAATTTGTGGAAGTGGATCATAAATGGGTCAACATATAATTAAGATATGGGTTTTGAGTTTTAAATTAAAAAGGCCTACAATAAATGGATTTAAATGGGTTTTAAAATGAGCCATTTAACCCGTTTGGGACTCGTTCGTCTCTTCTCTCTCGCTCTTTGCTCCCTCTTGTCTCTTCGTCAAACCGAGCCCCGGACACCTTCTGTTCGCGCTCAGCCTCTCGTTCGACTTGGCAGTCTTGGCGTTCTTGGAGCAGATCACGCCCTTTAGCACCGGGATGAGGGACGCCGTCTCTCGGACGAGCTTGTGCTCGAGAAGCTCGGTCTTGAGGCGCGGCTCGCGCTGGCGGAGGAGCTCGGAGATGTTTGGCGGGCGGGGCTAGACCTGGGCGAAGGAGTGCGGGAAGTAGGCGCTGAAGGAGCGGCCGAATGCCGCCTTCTCGGAGGAGATCTTGGTTAGCTCGGCGACGGCGGCTTCGGCGAATTTAGTCATGGTAGAAAATTGAAGGATCGAAGTTTGCTTTGCCCTCACACGCATCGCGAGCTCACAGCTCCAATCTATGATTCAGTAGATCGGATATGGCATTTTGTGTTATACAGATATGGTTTTCAAAGATTCATGTGTGTTGACGTTGAGTTTGAGTTCGTATTAGGTTTCTTAATTCCCTGTCTGTGACTCCATGAGCAAGCTTCACGTTGTTTCTCTTCCATTTGTTAATGATGTGTATGTTTGAAATTCGGGCCAAGGGTAGGCGCTTTGTTCAAAATTGCATTGTTGCAGTTTATTGATACATTTAAACATCTGGAATCGTCCTATTATTGAGAATAAATTGAAATCAAACCGTTGATATTTTAGAATCGCTTGCATTGGTCGTGAGATTCATGATTTTTGTTCAACTAAGCCCTCTCTGATAAATATGGGAAACCTGTAAGTGTGATAGGTTGAGAGAGAGTTGAGCGCCTATAATGCGTTTGATGAAATTCCTAAGTTAGCAGCGTGCTTGGCTATTGATTGTTTGTTCATAGCATGTGTGCTTGGTTGTTGTTGATGATTGATATGTATTCATAATCCACGTGGTATCGCTGCTTTTTTTTAGTTTGGATTATTTCTTATTCAACCATGAGATTTCCATAGATCAAGCTTGCTTTGTTTTTTCTTAAGCCATTTTTCTGGGTTTGGAAGGTGGGTTCTGAGAAGATGGCCAGTATAGGAAGACAAAATTGCTTGGACTCTTTCTTGGGTTAATCTGACTTTGCAGTTCAGAGAAGATGACTAGAGCTGGACAATGAAATTTGTTTCAACTTTGTCGTAATTGCCTGCCAAGTGTTCGTGAAAATTTCTCAAAGGAATGTTACTTGAGAGTTTGAAAGTTTCAGCATATAGTTCAAGTCGGTTGTGTAAATCAGAATGTTCATAAAGCCTCCCCGTTTCAGCATCTAGATCTATTTGATACTTCGCACTGTTCCAGTTGCTGGTTAGTCTGGGTCCAAATACTTGCTCGTCTTATGCATGCAACCATATTCACATGGAGAGCAATCTATGGTGCGGTTTTGTTTATCAGTATATTTAACCCAAAACCTGTCTATATTTAACCCAAAACCATAGCCCGATATTGCTAGGGCCAAACTTTCACCACTGCCTTCACGCCGATGTTCATAACCCAACCCGAACTCCCTCACTAACTCAACGAGCCGGTTCATGGAGCCGCTCATTCTTCAAAGACGATAATTTAAGGATAAAAATGCTAAAAAAAAATGGATGTCGGGTTTGGTTGAGTATGGATAAGATATGGGTCGGGTCGAGTATGGTCAAGAAATTTACATTGCAAATAAATGTGTCAAAACGGGTTAAACGAATCAATTTGGATCGGATCATTTATGACTCGACCCAAGTCACCTATTTGACGGGAATAGGGTACACCATGGGGCAAGAGGTAGGGTGTGGTGGGGCTAGCATTAGCCTTGCCCTGTCCCATTAATCCGCTTTGTTTGTGTAGTTTTTATTGTATATAAATAAAAATAAATATAGATATGAAAAGGACTTTTAAGAACAATCTCTTCTTCTTACGAGCCTTGTATTTACGGGATGTCCAAGTTTGAAAGTTTTCTAGGTAAGCAACGTGGGACAATTGTTTCTCATGTATTCCGTCTTCAAATTGTTTCGCATCCACAACTTGTGATATTTGGAGCATGTTTGACTCAATAAAATCAGTTCGTGAGATTATTCTTTTTCAAAACCTACCCATGAAGGCATTTCTTATTATTACTCTTTTTACATAATTATTGTAATAATAATAATGAAAAATGCCAAATATAATAAAAAAAACGAATGCCAAATTTAATGCGGTTCTCCGCGAGGATTCGATGTCCCGAGAAGAGAAAACTACATCGGTCCTCATGGGGACGGGGGCATGTTTTTCGTCCCTTCACGTGCTCGTCCCTAGGAATTACATGATTTGAGAGTATTATTATTAGGGTTAATACCACGAAAAACCCTAAACTGGTACACTTGTGATACATTTACCCCAAACTATTTTTTTGACCATAAAAAATCCCAAACTGGTACACCTGTGACAATTTTATCCTGAACTATTTTTTTGACCACCAAAAACCCCAAACTGGTACACCTGTGACAATTTTACCATGAACTTACCACAAAAAACCCCAAACTGGTACATATGTGACAATTTTACCATGAATTAAAATTTTAATATTTTTATTTTTATTTTTTTTCGAATTTTTATTTATTTTTTATTCTTTTTTTTTTTCATTTTCAAACTCCCGGGGAGCCGTGGAGGCGAGGGCGACCTCGTCGCGCCGCTCGGGCGAACCGGCTCGCGAGGGCGACCGCTACTCGGGTCGGCGACGGGGCCGCCCCGGCGCCGGGCGCCACGCCCGCCGGCGAGGGCGGCCCTCGCATCCGGCGAGACGCCCCTTCGCCCGACGCGAGGGTCGTCCGAGCCGGATCCGGCGAGGCGACCTGCTCGCCGGCCTGGGAGCTCGCGGGGCCTCGAAGGGTTCGCCTCGCCCTCGCCGACGCTGGGCGGCGGGCAGACGGCCGCGGCCTCGCCCGGCGAGCCTCGCGAGCGGGCGCCCGACATCGGCAAGGGCGGCCCTCGCTAGATCCGGCGAGGGCAGCCTCGTCGGATTTGACGAGGGCGGCCCTCGCCCGACACCGGCAAGGGCGGCCCTCGCCGGCTTCCGCCTCTGGTCGGTTGCCGGACCGGCGACCGGCCAAAGGTTGAAGGTGAAGGAAAAAAAAAGAAAAAGAAAAGAAAAAAGAAAAAATTCAAAAAAATAAAAAAATAATATTAAAAATTAGTTCGGGGTAAAATTGTCACATGTGTGTTTAGTTTGGGGTTTTTTGTGGTATGTTCAGGGTAAAATTGTCACAGGTGTACCAGTTTGGGGTTTTTTACGGTAAAAAAAATAGTTTGGGGTAAATGTGTCACAAGTGTACCAGTTTAGGGTTTTTCGTGATATTAACCCTTATTATTATCATAATACATTTGGCACACGTTTCAAGTGACCATTACTATTTATTTTTAGATTTTTTCTTTTTGCAAATCTTGCGGTTTCGCAATGACTTTTTACAAATGTTAGGCATTTGAAACTCTCGCAATCTATAGCTCTTCACTTGCAGATTCACATATCATTTTTTTCATAAATTTTTAAACTTTGAATAATATTTTATACTCCAGTGGAGAAAATAAAAATACAATTACTTAGACACGAATTGCGTAATCTAATTATTCGGATCAAACATATATATATTCGATGACTCAACGTGATAATAATGACAAAATATTTTATTCGCGTAATTCCAAAGATCTCGTTGGAATACAACGGCAATAACATGTGTAGACGGTGGATTCTCAAAGTAATCCATCATTTTTCCATCGGACACATCTAATCTTCAAAAGCAAATCCCATGATCCCCTAATCACAGTCCACGTGGAAATACTAAGCAAAAAATATTATTGTTAAAAAGTAAAAAAAAAAGTAAAGAAAAAAATGGAGAGGCGAGAGTCTTTATTAAAGCAACTCGGTGAAAAGTGGCGCGCCTTTTTGTTCCTCGCGTGTGTTTTCCCACTGCTAATTTCCATCATTCACAAACGCATGAATGTCCGTGTTGAAAGTGGCCCCGTGTCCACCGTTTCGGTCAACCGGGAGGAGGGAGCGGCGAGGACTTGGAATTCGGAGAGCGGACCGCGTCCAAAAACTTTTATGGGAATTTCCCCGCTTAAATTTGCCTTGGAAAATTCAGGGCCGGGGTCGCGGTCGAGTAACCGGTCGGTTCACAAGAATTCGTCATCTCATCATAAAGGACTTGCGATATTGAACGCGAAAGAATACGATAGAGATTGAGAATGCGGCATTATAAATGTACTTTTATCAGGAGTCAAATTACTGGCGGATTTGATCGCTAATTTTCATGAAAATGCGCACGAGGCCTTTGAGCGAAAAATGTAGGTGTCCCGATAATCTTCCTTAAAGATTAGTAAGTTAATATTTCTTTTTAAATCACCCGGGCCAAATTTTAACTTTTTTTAATCGAATAACCATATTTTAACGTTCAATGATAGCTTTCCATCTCATTTGTACACTGCTTTTTTAAAATCTTTGTATAATTAGTACTATTTCGGGCTCCGAAGTTTCTTGGCTGCACTTGCACGTCGCTTTCCTTACGGCCGAGAGCTCGAATGGACTCAAAAGCGAACGCGTTTTCTTGAGTAAGACCGTCGCCCACTCCTTTTGACCACAAAGAGATGGAAGACCATTACCCTGCAGTCCTCTTGATGCTCCTCTGGATCCATGCTCAATGTGTAAGGGCCGCTTGAGATTCTCCTTCCATGGTGCGTTCTCCTGCTCAGATAATCCAGAAATTCTCCTCCTTTTTTCGATAAGTATAATCTAATTTTCCTTTGTTAATTTCCTCCGTGTAGATCCCGTGCGTCTCTCTCTACTTGTGCTGTTGTTCCTGGTGGAAATAAGGAGAGAGATCTCTGTACTTTGGGCATACACAACTCAGGTGGTTTAGCTCTGTTAGGAGGACGATTCAAGGATTTTGCATCGGTATCAAGTCTATCTGGTCAGCTAACTGTTAACATGACTTGGGAATCCTTTGTGTTTCTGTATCCATCTTTTTTTTTATCGATCTTGTCTGTTTTTAACCGTTCTATGCTTTTGCTTGGCCTTGTCTCTGTTTTTCATGTCATGTCCTCTCGGTAGGTAATAGCAAAAAGAATGCCTAGAGAGTCGGATCCCTTTCGTCAGTATGTGGATGCCGTGGAGAACAACAAGTGGGAGTGCAGGTTTTGCGGCAACAAGTATAGCGGAAGTGCTACAAGGATCCGGGCGCACCTCGCTGGAAAGCCGGGCTATGGTATCAAAGACTGTGAGAAAGTTGATGATCGTGTGAAAGAAGAAGCCCGGCAGACATTTAATGGTAAAGGCAGCATGTTGGCTGTAAGCACGGGAGGCACATCGGGGGAAGAAACGGAAAGAACAGCTTTTGGCCCTAGTCAAATTGTATTCCAAGGTGACGACGCGTCGAATCCCAATGACACGCAGAACTCGAATCAACCCGGGTGCGCACCACAGCAACCATCTTGCAATTGGCCAACCGGAACCGGCACTGCTTCAGCATGCCCTCAGTATCAAGTGTCTTTGCCTCCTGGTTATATGCCTCTGGATAATCTAGATACCACCCAGCAACCTGATCTATCGAACCATGGGTTTGATGCAGCTCTCCAGCAACTTCCGGTGTACTCGCCGGCTTTATCTTCTCTTGATCCACGTGAGCTACCAGCCCTTCTTGAGCAACTAACTAATCTTGAATCAGGGAGGGAACAACAAAATTCAAGAGGGCTATCATCGTTCCCAAATGATCAGGTCCTTGGCGACAGCAGTATGTCAAATAGGCTGCAGGAGCTCATTGGAGGTGATGTTTTACCCACTCCTCTACTCAGTAACATAACTCCGACCAGCATTCCCCAATATTCAAATGAACAATATCTAATAAGCTTTGACGAACAATTTGCAGATGGAATCACTCCAGATTCACCGCAATATTCAACAGGCTTGTCATATCTTCTCCACTCTCCGTCAGAGAATCTTCCTGAATCTCGTGATGTAATTGTAAACACTTCCGAGGAAATACAAACGAATGAACTGCATAATCCAACCGTGGGATCATCGTTACAAATTGATTCATCCCTTGATGTGGACGGTGCAAATCGTTTGCAGGATTGTGGTCAATCGTGTGCAGTGGAAGTGATTCCTGTACGCAGCAACACAAGTCCGACCGACACTGTCCAGCATCCTGGTCAGCTTCCCCCAAGGTGTGACAAGGAAGATGGGGATGATACTCGTCGGTTTCCTGTGCGAACTCCAATGGACATAGATCCCTCCACTGCATCACAGCATACAAGTGACTCTCACATTTTTGAGGCGACAATCGTTGATTCGCTAGTTCCAGAGGCGTCTACAAATACAATAGGCCCATCATCATCACACGGTGTGTCTGGATTATTCTACATTGCTACTATGGTTTCGTTAGATCCATAGATATACCCAGATTATTTTTTCGAAATCTAACATATGATGTGTTTTTAAGCAAGATATCAACGGGGGTTCTCCAATCTCCATATGTCCAATATCACTTCCTTTTTATTGCACCGTTTCTTTCATCAAAATATTTAACTTTTGCCGATGTTGATTTTCACTGTAGATATTTTGTTTTACCTGGACCCATGGCTTGATTTGGAAGTCCCAATTGTTGATTGATCTTACAATTGAATATTTTATTGCAAGCAGCTTCGGTGCCCCCTCAATGTCAAAGTGTTCCACATCAATCCATTAATCTCAAGACAGTACATCAGAATCCAACCGTGCCATCATTATGGAAAAACCAATTAGTCACATGTCAAGCTCTAATGGACATGGATCCATGTATGCCATCATCATCCCAAGCTCCAAATAATGCTCCTTCACCACCTCAGATTCTACCTTGTGGCCCATCATCATTAGCAGGTCCATGGTTCTTTACAAAAATTAATGCTTGTGTATCACAATGTTACATTATTATGGGGTAGCAAGAATGCTATCATGAGGCTCTAACTAATGAAAATTTTAAATTGCAGACTTAGATAGGAATGACGGTGCGCCAATGACGAGTCATCCAAACACAAGCAACAACTTTGAAGAGAATATAGCTTTGAAAAGAAAACTAGAACTACTCTATAGAAAAGAAGCGAGCATAAGGGATGAGTTAGAATTTGCCGCATCTCTATCCCTAAAGAAGCTGAGAATGGAAGTTGCGAATTGGTTGGTGATTGTGGATAAGGTTAGAAATGATTGTACTGAAGCAGCAAATGAGGATTGTTTGCTACTACATCAACAAGTGGATATACTGATGCGTGAAGCAGAAGACCGGAAAAGACAAGGCAAAGGACTACTTGAGGTAAGAGAGACCAAAGTCAGTAAATTGTTAGAAGAAAAGATGGTGGGTGAGGCATTTCAGAGAAATACTACAAAGATTTTGGAGTACCTAGTAGGGAATCAAATATCCAAATTAGGCATTTATGGAATGGGGGGTGTTGGTAAAACGACTATTATGGTGCATATACATAATAGACTCCTCGAAAAAGCAAACTATGGCCACGTGTTATGGATTACCGTGTCACAAGATCTCAACACACAAAGGTTGCAGGACACCCTTGGGATGGAACTAGGTTTGGGCATACTACAAGAAAAGGATGTGAGGAAACGAGCAGCAATGTTGCACGATTGTTTAACGAAAAGAGGCAAATCTACAATAATCCTCGATGATGTGTGGCAACGCTTTGATCTTAAAGAGGTGGGAATCCCAGTAGGAGCAGATGGAATTAAGTTGGTCTTAACCACTCGATCCTTTGAGGTATGCCGTCAGATGCATTGTCAAGAAATGATAAAAATTGAACCTCTATCTCATATAGAAGCCGAGAGTTTATTTTTGGAGGAGCTTGGATATGAAGTGGCCCTTAATTTGGAAACTAAAGCGATTGTGAAGTCCATTGTTGAAGAATGTGCAGGCTTGCCACTAGCCGTCATCACGATGGCAAGAAGCATGCAAGGAGTGACCGACGTGTTTGAATGGAAGGATTGCTTGGAGAAATTGAGAGAATCAGGGCAAACGGATATGGAAAAGGAGGTCTTAGTGAAACTAGAATTCAGTTACAATCGCCTTAGTAATCATGAAGTTCAACAATGTTTCTTATCTTGTGCACTTTATCCAGAAGATAAACAGATTGGTAAGTTCGAGTTAATAGAACTCTTTATTGACCAAGGATTGATTGATCGATTGGATACGAGGGAGAAACAATACGATAGAGGCCTCACCATACTGAACAAACTGGAAAATGTTTGCCTATTGGAAGATCATGGGAGTGAGATGAAGATGCACGATTTGATTAGAGACATGGCATTGCACGTCATGAGTGCGACTTCGCTTGTAAAAGCAAGAAAGGGGTTGGAGAGGATACCATCCGAGGAATATTGGACGGATGCATTGGAGAAAGTTTCTCTAATGGAGAATGAAATTGGACAATTTCCCTTGAACATATCACCGAATTGTCCTAAACTATCAACTTTTCTATTGAATGCAAACGAGTGGTGTGATGTGGTCATCCCCGATTCTTTCTTCAAACAATTACAGGGGCTAAAGGTTCTAAACCTGAGTAGTTGTTACTACCTAAGAAAACTTCCAGATTCCATTTCAGACTTGGTAAACTTGAGAGCACTATTGCTTCGAGGATGTGTGAAATTGCGCCGTATTCCTTATTTAGGGAAGCTCAAATCTTTGATAAAGTTGGACCTTTGTAACTGTTTCGAGGTTCAAGCGCTCGAGGGTCTGGAAATGTTGGTGAACTTGAGATATCTTGACCTATCTAATACAAAAATAAAGAGATTACCCAAAGAAACATTGGGGGCTTTGTTGAACTTGCAACATCTTAAAGTCGAGACGGTAAATGGAGAAGACATTACAGAATTGTGGGCATTGGAGACGCTTTTGTGCCGCTTTGAAGATGTGGATGGTTTCAACAAGTTTGCGAGGGTGGTTAGTAAGCAGGGGAATAATGCTCGCTATTACAGGCTCGACGTCATTCGAGAAGCAACGGAGATTTATGTGCAAGTAAGTGGTGATGCTCGATTTGGGAATTGTGAGAGGAGTGTTTACATTGATACGTGGAGTCATGCTATTGTGAGCGCTGGAGGGGAATACAGTGGCATTTGTATTTTGATTCCCCAGGATGTGCAGACATTGATAGCGATCGAATACGATGGTGCAACAAATTTGTTTGACATGGGTCTGCTTGAAAACCTTGAGAAGCTAAATATGATAAACTGGAAAAACTTGCGGGTGCTTTGTGGAGGGCAAGATGAAGAAATAATCGACATCCATGACTCTCCTGCCCCTGCCCCTGCCCCAACCCCTACCCCTCCCTACTTCCCAAGCCTTAGGGATTTGAAAATATATCAATGTCCGAAACTGAAGTATCTCTTTGGGCATGGGCCTAAATTCTACCTTCCACATCTACGAAAGATTGATATAAGTAATTGTGAGGAAATGGTCGGGATAACGGTTGCAGTTACATCACCACCACCACATCCGCCCCCAGCCTTCCCTAGTCTAGAAGTGATTTCTATTTGGGGATGTGATAAAATGAAGAGAGTGGTGGAATCTGAGTGGCTGCCTGACTTCCCTAATCTAAGAAAAATTACGGTATTCTGTTGTGAGAATGTGGAGGAGATAATTGGAGGTCCTCCACCATACATGCCAGTCGAAGATATTTCTCTCGAATCTCTAGTGCTAGAAGGTTGTGATAACATGAGAAAGCTGTTTCCGCATGAGTGGATGCCCCATCTTCGAAATCTTCAAACTATCGAAGTCATTGGCTGCGAAGGAATGGTGGAGATGATTAGCGGAGCGGGACAAGGCCAAGTAGGAAGTATAATGACTCCTGTAAACAACGCCCCTTCATCCATCCAATCTTCAATTTCACTCCCAAAGCTGAAGCACTTGTGCCTCCGCAATCTACCCCGGCTGAAGAGCATATGTGAAGTCCCAATAACTTGCGATTCCATGGAAAGTTTGGTGGTGTTCAATTGCCCAGAATTGAACATGATTCCTTTGCAATTGCAATTACGTGATATTAAGGACCTTCCGTATATTGAGGTGGAAGGTGAGGAAAAGTGGAAGACGCTGATATGGGATCATCCCGATGCTCGGGCTATTCTTCAATCTCATCTCCTTTTCCGTGGTAGTACCTGTGTTCTAGAAAGACAACGCAATTCACGTGAGTAATCAATATAATTTACTTCATTCCTTAAAAATCGTTATGAAGATGTGGCTCTTCTTTTTATAGTCACGCAACTATAGAGACTAGGATTAGAACTAACACTGGATTTTGCAGAATTAACCACGAGTGGAAGTGAATCCCCCGATGCTGCCTTCGAAGAAGTCTGCTGAAAGGCCTTCAGCTGCTATTTTAATTATTCAAGCATGCTTTCCTGCAAACTCAAGTCACCGTGTGAATTACTTTCTTCGTATGCCGTACTTCGTTGCCAAAGGGGACACCATAGCGCGCGGTATTTTGAATGTCGTCGCATATTTTACTTTTAGTAAATGGAATAAAGTTACATCTAGGACTGTCAAGATGATCCACGACCCGTATTTTAATCCAAATTTATGGAAGTGGATCATAAATGGGTCAACTTAAAATTAAGATATGGGTTATGAGTTTTAAATTAAAAAGGCCTACAATAAATGGATTTAAATGGGTTTTAAAATGAACCATTTAACCCGTTTGGGACTCGTTCGTCTCTTCTCTCTCGCTCTTTGCTCCCTCTTGTCTCTTCGTCAAGCCGAGCCCCGGACACCTTCCGTTCGTGCTCAGCCTCTCGTTCGACTCGGCAGTCTTGGCGTTCTTGGAGCAGATCACGCCCTTTAGCACCGGGATGAGGGACGCCGTCTCTCGGACGAGCTTGTGCTCGAGAAGCTCGGTCTTGAGGCGCGGCCCGCGCTGGCGGAGGAGCTCGGAGATGTTTGGCGGGCGGGGCTAGACCTGGGCGAAGGAGTGCGGGAAGTAGGCGCTGAAGGAGCGGCCGAATGCCGCCTTCTCGGAGGAGATCTTGGTTAGCTCGGCGACGGCGGCTTCGGCGAATTTAGTCATGGTAGAAAATTGAAGGATCGAAGTTTGCTTTGCCCTCACACGCATCGCGAGCTCACAACTCCGATCTATGATTCAGTAGATCGGATATGGCATTTTGTATTATACAGATATGGTTTTCAAAGATTCATGTGTGTTGACGTTGAGTTTGAGTTCGTATTAGGTTTCTTAATTCCCTGTCTGTGACTCCATGAGCAAGCTTCACGTTCTTTCTCTTCCATTTGTTAATGATGTGTATGTTTGAAATTCGGGCCAAGGGTAGGAGCTTTGTTCAAAATTGCATTGTTGCAGTTTATTGATATGGAAAAAAAACAGCTAGAATCGTCCTGTTATTGAGAACAAATTGAAATCAAACTGTTGATATTTGGGAATCGCTTGCATTGGTCGTCAGGTTCGTGATTTTTCTTCAACTAAGCCCTCTCAGATAAATCTGTGAAACTTGTAAGTGTGATAGGTCAGGAGAGAGTTCAGCGCCTATAATGTGTTTGATGAAATTCCTAAGTCAGCAGCGTGCTTGGCTATTGATTGTTTGTTCATAGCATGTGTGCTTGGTTGTTGTTGATGATTGATATGTATTCATAATCCACGTGGTATCGCTGCTTTGTTTTAGTTTGGATTATTTCTTATTCAACCATGAGATTTCCGTAGATCAAGCTTGCTTTGGTTTTTCTTAAGCTAGTTTTCTGGGTCTGGAAGGTGGGTTCTGAGTAGATGGCTGGTATAGGAAGACAATATTTCTTCGACTCTATCTTGGGTTAATTTGACTATGCAGTTCAGAGAAGATGACTAGAGCTGGAAGATGAAATTTGTTTCAACTTTGTCGTACTTGACCGCCAAGTGTTCGTGAAAATTTCTCAAAGGAATGTGACTTGAGAGTTTGAAAGTTTCAGCATATAGTTCAAGTCAGTTGCGTAAATCAGAATGTTCATAAAGCCTCCCTATTTCAGCATCTAGAATATATTTGATACTTCGCACTGTTCAAGATGCTGGTTAGTTTGGGTCCAAATACTTGCTCGTCTTATGCATGCAACCATATTCACATGGAGAGCAATCTATGGTGCGGTTTTGTTTATCAATAAGTTTACGACCCAAAACCAGAGTTCGAACTCGTTTCATGATTTATATATGGCCCGGGCCAAACTTTCACCACCCCTTTCACACTCCTGTTCATGACCCGATACTCGAACTCTCTCACTAACTCGACGAGTCCGTTCTTGGAGTCGCTCATTCTACAAAGGTAATAATTTAAGGAGAGAAAACGCTAAAAAAAATGAATCCCGAGTTTGCTCAGGTATCAATCGGATATTAGTTAGGGTCGAGTATGAGTCAAGAAATGTGCATTGCAATTAGATGAGTTAATTTGGGCTGGATCATTTATGACCCAACCCCAATCTTGCCCTACTCACTTGTTTATGACCCAACCCCAATCTTGCCCTACTCACTTGTTTGACGAGCCTACGGATACACTGCGGGACAAGAGGCAAGGTGGAGCTAGCATTAGCTCTGCCCTGTCCCATGAATCCGCCCTGTTTGTGTAGTTCTTATTGTATATAAATAAAAACAAATATAGACATAAAAAGGACTTATAAGAATAATCTCTTCTTCATACGAGCCTTCGTTTTCACGGGAGATGCAAGCTTGAATGTTTTCTAGGTAAGCAACGCGGGACAATCGTTTCCCATGTATTCCGTCTTCAAATTGTTTCGCATCCACAGTTTGTGATATTTAGAGCTTGTTTGACTCTACAAAATCAGTTCATGAGTTTATTCCTTTTCAAAACCTGCCCATGAAGCCATTTCTTATGATTACTCTATCATTTCACATAATTATTGTAATAATAATAATTAAAAATGCCAAATATAATAATAGACGAATGCCAAATATAATACGGTGCTCCGTGAGGATTCAGTGTCCCGAGAAGAGAAAACTACCTCAGCACCCATCTCGGCCCTAACAGGAAAGGGGGGCATGTTTTTCACCCCGCCACGTACCCATCCCTAAGAATTACGTGATTTGAGAGTATAGCTATCATAATGCGTTTCGCGCATGTTTATAGTGACCGTTACTTTTTTAGTTTTTGACTCTTTTGTTTTGCAAATCTTGCAGTTTACGTAATGACTTTTTAAAATTGTTAGGCATTTGAAATTCTCTCAATTTATAGGTCTTCATGTGCAGATTCACATATAATTTTTTTCATGAATTTTTAAACTTTGAATAATATTTTATACTCCAACAGAGAAAATAAAATGCAATTACTTGGGTAATCCAATTATTCGAGTCAAACTTACATATATATATTTATATGTATGTATATTCGATGACCACGTTCATCCAGCGCGACAATAATGACAAATCTTCTATTTGCGTAACTTCAAAAGATCTCGTGGTAATACAACGAGCAATAACATGCACACACAGTGGACTCTCAAAAGTAATCCATCATTTTCCACCGTACACATCTAATCTTCAAAACCAAATTCCATGATCCCCTAATCACAATCCACGTGGAAATACAAAGCAAAAAAATATTATTGTTAAACAAAAATTTAAAAAAAAACAAAGAAAAGAAGAAAAGGAAATGGAGAGGAGAGGCCGACGGATGACCATAATGCCCCGACCCGATCTGACCCGGCACCCGACCGAGGCAGTTGACGCCGGTCATCATCACCACCCACGCGCTCCTCGCCGCTGCGAATCTCCGTCCTGACCGAACTCCTCGGCCCACTCGCAGCGACCATCGCCTCCGCGACACGCTCTCCCACGCGCGCCCCCCCACGGCAATCCTCGCCGCGCGTGCCCTCCACGCCCTTCGAAGCGCGAGTCGGGCGGAAGTGAGTCCACCCCCGCGGCGAAGGGGCAGACACGTAAATTCGCGCGGTGCCGTCGGACCGAAGAAGCCGAACACTTTGCGCCGAAGTAACTTGCACTTTGGTGTCCCGAAACAAAAAGCACACACTTTAAAAGCACCGGGCTGTCGTTCCCCTGCGCTCGAGCCCAGATCAAATCCGCCGCAACCGCCACGCGTCGTGCCCCGGTTGGCCTGTTCCGGCCGGGGGGCCCGCGGCTAAGGCCATCACGCGGGGAAGGTCGCGGGAGCACACCGGGCTTACCGTGAGCGCGAGGCCACCTTAGGACCGCTCCTTTATTTATTGATATTCTTTTCAAAAAATTTCAGTAGTAACTCCACCAGCTTCACTGAGACATAGAGGGAGAGAGAAGCGAAAGTGGGGCTGATGCTGCAGCTAGATCGCAGGCTTCCTTGATTTGCAAGCTCAGCCATTCATGGTACCACTCACTCACTCCCCTTCTTTATCTCTGCGTGCACGCGGTTGTATAAAACGTTCTTGGCGTCAAAAATGGTGGTTGCGGCGTCTTTCTTGATTTTGGTTGTGGCTTTGTATCAGGAATGCTAGGTGGTGCTGGTGGTGCGCTCTGGGGTAGCGCGACGGGCAGGTAAGTGCAGATCTGGCTTGGTTTTCAGCTGCATTGGCCATTTTCGTTTCCGGGTTTCGAGCCGGAAGTGTGCGGTTTTCCGGGCTTGTGTTTCGGCTTCCGAGTTAGATTCGCAGTTTCGTTCGATTGATTTGGTCGTCCCCCGGTGCGTGGTTTGACTTGGGTTTTGCTGGGTTGCGCTCTGCCGAGCTCCGTTTGGTGCGTCCTTGCCTTTTTTTAGGGGTCACTTGTGTGTTTCTTGTTTCGAAGTCATTTCGATGTTGCCTGAGAGATCACCAGGACAGGTGCATTTGTTGGTTGGTCTGGGGTGATTAAATTTGAAATGAGAAACTGTGCTTGTGAGAGGTGGACCTGTTTTAAGTTCGGCGGCTTTAGACCCATTAATAGAATAGGGGCAAAGATGGTGGCGGCCCTGCAAAAGAATCGACAGTCCTCGAAGGGCATGGCGATTAGGTTGCCATCATTCGGATCCGTTTTGAAAGTGGAAGGGAGTGCAGAACGAATTGATGTAGGTCATGGTGATGGGTGGAGATCTAGTATGTTCCCATTTTTAACTGTGTCAAGTGTCTTACAATATGTGGCCGCTCAGTGAAATCGACAAAGCAAAATGAGCAAAGCTTCGAGTCAGGATTTGGGATTTGTTTTAAGGTCAAGCGGGAGTCGGGATTGTAGTGCTGACAGTCCTAGTAGGTCCCTGTTTTGCACGCTAGTTTAAATTTCTCGACCATTATTCTTCGTGATGAGTAATTTGGTTTGTTCTGGTCGTCTTGTTCAGTGATGAGCAGAAACGTCAACTTTTCCAGCTGGGGCTTTTCCTTTATGAAAACCGGCATGTATCACAAATATTTCTGCACGCCTGAGCTGTTTTACTTCGAATTGTGCAGGAGCTAAGGTTCAGGTTATTGCTGCATCGGTTCCTGCCTTCCTGCCATGGGTAGAGCTAAATCACCTGGAAGATGGATCAAGACATTGTTATTTGGGAAAAAAACATCAAAACACAATGTTAAAGAAAGAGAGGTATTCTTTTTTGCTACAACAAATCCTGTAACTTCTTAGTTAAACTGTTGAAAATCCTATTTCCTTATGTTCCAACTTTCTTGTGTGTTTTAAATAAAAGAATGATAGTTACACGTCAGTTCCTGCCACAAACTTGTGTTCTTTTCATCTGACTAAAGTAACTTGGTTATTTCTTCTCTTTTGAACTTTTATGCCGCTACCATACTGTGCAGAAAATTACAAATGACGCAGCGGTCCTGGTTGGTGCTAGGGCACCTGAAGCTGATTATCATGTGGTTTCTCAGCCTAATACTGAAAGTGATGATTGGAATAGCAGGAAACAAGAATCAGAGAGAAAGAATGAGGAAATTCTACTCCAAGATCGAGGGATTGAGACCGACGAGGACATGGACATGGCTCAACTAAGTATAACTCAGGATGCACCTCAAAATCCAGAAATAATCAGGCAAGAGATAGCAGCAACAAAGACGCAAGCTGCTTTCAGGGGTTATTTGGTATCTTTTCTGACATTTGTCTTCTCTACTCATCCGGTCATCCCTACTGTCTGTAGACATTCGTTGCAGTTGAAGAATGGATAACTATCTGAATATGAAACGTAGTCTGGATTCTATATAGATTATTTATTCAATAAAACTTCCTTTATTTTTAATAGTCACTGTTTATTTAGATAAGGCTTGTTTATGGATTTTGTTTTGCTGTCATGATGAAGGCTCGCCGTGCATTCCGAGCTCTCAAGGGCATCATTCGGTTGCAAGCACTTATCCGTGGGCATTTGGTTCGGAGACAGGCAGTTGCTACTTTGTGCTGCATGCTGGGAATAGTTAAATTGCAGGCACTTGTTCGAGGGAGAAATGTCAGGCAATCTAGCATTGGGCTTGAAGTACACAGGTTACTGATATCTCAGGTACTTCAGGGTGAAGCAATGCCCGTAACGGATGATAGAATAGCTCCTTTTCCTTCATTTGGATATGTCTTTTACTCGTGACAAAAATGGATCCTATCGGACTATACTGTTTCTGGGGCTTTATGCCTCACATGCCTTGGAGTGGTTGGCTTTAATAACCAGTATAGACAAAAGAGAAGTTAACATAGTGTTTATCAGTAAAATTGACGTGTCATGACAGTCAGATTAAAATCTTTGTTATCCTGTGAACTGCTTGGATCATTCACTCTAAGATATATCTGCCTATTTCTGACTTCGCATTGCTGAATGATAATATGCCAACAGTCTTGTATAGCTGTACATAATTATAGCAAACAGTGATGTCTGCAACTTGCTTCTTTGGGTGTCTGCTACTTGTTTACTGTCTTGTCACTTCTCAGGTTAGTTGGAGGTACTTTAAGTTGTCTTTTCTTTGAACAGTCATGTGTGACACAAGTGCCTGCTTGGAAGGATTTAACTGTATGTGCGTGTGAGAGAGAGAGAGAGAGAGAGAGGAGGAAGGAGGCCGGGGGGGGGGGGGGTGCGGGAGAGATATGCTTAGTACATTACTTTTGAATCTCCTCTGCTGCCTTTTTATTTTTCTCCTGCGTTCATGATGATAGATGACTGACTTACATCCTCATAAATTATCTGACAGGGCATGTCTGGGGATTCTGCCAAAGTTGATTTAAGTACTCAGCTTGCCAATTTTTCTGCAAATGCTTTCATTCGAAAGGTAATACGGCATCATGTATAGCATTGAATTGCAAGTTTGCTTTTTTCAAGTACTCTTGTGATTTCGTTCCCATATGCTCTCCATTTGAGCAACCACTGCATGATGTTGTAGCTTGTTGCTTCATCACCAACTGTCATGCCTCTGCACCTCAATTATGATTCTGCGGAACCAAATTCAATTCCGAGTTGGTTAGCATGCTGGTCAGCGTCTGTTTTCTGGAAACCAGTTCCCCAACCGAAAAGAATCTCCAAATCTCAGAAAAAGCAGGGTTTCTCTCAAATTTCAGAAACTGAAACTCGTAGGACGAAGCGTGGTGTCCAGAAAACTCCTGCTTCCAATGTTGACACAGCGCACGCAACCACAGAGATGCCCAAACGCAATGTACGGAAGGTGTCTGGCCATTCTACGGATCCTTCGCAGGATAGTCCACAAAATGAGATCCAAAAGGTCAAACGGAGTTTGAGAAAGGTCCATAATCCTGTTTTAGAGAATACTGTAATCCAGTCTGAAATTGGAAGTGTAAAGCCCAAGGACAGTTCGGAAAGGCCATCCATCACTAGAGGAGATGATGTTTTTGAGCAGAACAACAAAACTTCTGATGAGAAAATGGAGAGTGAGACAATCTTGACCTCATCAAATTTGCCTGATGCAGAAAAGATTCAGGAACCATTGGAAATAAATGACAGAGCTGATATTCCTTTTGATGGTCAAGCAGTATATGACTCAAATGCTTCAATGGAGAACGATGTAGATGATGACAGCGGTCCTGTAACGAATGGGCATCAGGAACCCAAAAACCAAGAAGTCGCCATCCAGAGGGATGATCCAGTGAGCAATGAGCAACGTAGATCAGGCCGTAAGTCTTCCACACCCTCAAAGCAAGAATATGAGGAGAATGGCTCACGTAGCAGTCCAGCGCTTCCAAGTTATATGGCAGCAACTCAATCTGCAAAGGCCAAACTGAAAGCGCAAGGTTCTCCGATGTTTGGGCAGGACGGGGCAGAGAAGAGTAATCTGTCAAGACGTCACTCTCTACCTTCCCCAGCTAACAGTAAAATCAATTCTCAGTCACCGAGAACCCAGAAACCTAATCAGGGAAGTGGCAAAGGTGGAAATAAAAGCGACAGATCATCAAGAGATGCGAATGGTATGAAACTATGAATTACTATTTATTTCTTTGACAACTCGAGTAGTTTGTTTCTCATTCTGTTTTGTTGGAATGCTGGATTTGATTGAAGGATAGATGAAGCAATTTAAAGAATGCTTGCTCTCAACTCTCTTTTGGAACTACATATTTTCTCTGTGTAAGGCAATCCTATCAGTGAAGTTGGCTGTGTACTTTCCAAATCTTTTACCTAAGTGAAATCACATTATGCTAGTGAAGATGGCAAGGGAGAAGTGGTCCCAAATGCATGTCACCCTTACAGACTTAAATTTTCATGATATTTGCTTGGTTTGATAAGAAGGATTTCTAGAGAAACTAATCTTGCAATCTTCTCTTATTGTCCTTTACTGATCTATGTGAAATCAGCCTGTCGAAAGCCAGGTGAATAGTAAAGATCCTAGGGAACTCCCCCCCACCCCCTAAACACTTATCTGAATGCATGGATCATTAAACTCCGAAACTAGAAATCTTTTCTTTTTGGTTCCTTAGCTACTTATCTGGGATAGTAATTATTGTTTAATTTCACAGGAAAGGCTGAGTGGAGAAGGTGACTTTCAGAAACACTGCGGTTCAAATCTAACTTGAGGAGCAACATTGTGTGCAGATTTCGGTTCGTGTTCTCTGGTGTAAGAAGTATTAGTTCTGAAGCTTGATTCACGGCGTCTGGTTTCCTGGTTCTCTAGACTTTTGAGTTGGATTTGTTAGTGCAGGTAACATCATGGTTTTTGGAGTCTCACCATGTTAAATGTCTCAAATTAGTGTTGAACTCATTATTGGTCTGTACTATGGTGCTATACATTGCATATTTGTATAGTTGTGCATCTGTTTAGCTACCTCTGTTGGTCTGCTGATGTTAGGCATCGCGAACATTTTCGTCTGTAACGTGTGGCATGGCTTGATGATTAATTCTACTGATGTTTCTATTGTGCTTGGTTTATTCGAAATTAGATTCTCTTTTCACCTGTTAAACATTCTTTGCTTGCAAAATCTCGTGAGAAGTCCGGACTTAGATCCTTGTAACAGGCAATGTCGATAGGACATCATTGGGGGCATATGACTCCGAGCGGGGCATTAAGTTGGGTCGGGAGGCTCTTGTAGCGAGGTCCACCCCTCGGTTACCTTTGTCGGATGATGTAGAAATTTTTTTTTAGTGACTTTTCATGCTTAGAAATCTTATTGGATTAATATTGTTGTTCGATGATTCTATATCTATCTTCATCGTTAGTGTTGTGTTATAATATTTAAATATTAAATCATGCATTTATCTAACAATTTTTGGAACAGTTGGTCTTGGATCCATAAAACTTCAATGTTCTGTTTGTTTCGCAAAAAATCAATAATTCAAAAAGCATTTTCTTAAAAAAGTATCGTTTATATCGTTTACAAATATGAATGGATAAAAATTATTTTCATCGTCCTTGAAAATATTTAGACATAAATTGTCGTCGATAATGAAAAATTTTCCATTGACGAATTATCTTGAGTGATCATGTTTAGAAAAATATTTTTTCAAATTATTCATTTTCCGTGAGACAAACAGAGCTTAATGCAGGAGATTCACGACAATAACGACGAGTCTCTCCCAATTTTCATTTTTCTTTTGTGCGTGCTCGCTCCTTTTTTTGTTTAGTTTTTCTAACTTTGGAGTATCTTTTAGATTTACATTTACATTTGAAATTTACTCATTCGCAAACATTTGCCTTTTCAAAATTAGGGCACCTTTCATGCTACATAAGCCTACGTGTATAAATTCTATGTGTGCATATATTCAAACGCATGGAGTTAGAGACAGCTGTCTAAACCGTATCTTCTGAGATTTCTGTTCTTTTTTAAGCAAATCCGGTCAAACAATTGAAAATTGCACTAAGATCAAACCCTATCCTCTTGAGATTTTCAAGTTTTTCGTCCAAAGAAATTCTTGAATCTTCCAAATTGGTGTGTTTCGACTTTGAAATTCGGTGAGCATGGAAGAAAAATCAAAAGGATTTTGTGCCGAGTGTTCATGGGTTATCGGCTAATTAAGGCCGTAATCCAAACATTGAAGATGCAACATGAGATGTGATCGAATCATCAATGAGTGATAATTGCCCTGAAGCCATCCATGTCCACGAACAATGAACGTGCAAATTCCAATTTCTCGATAGATCAGTCCTAACCCATTCGAGAGATACGGGTTTCAAGCCAATTTTTGCTCACCAAATTCCGTTCTGCTTTCCTAATCTAGACCCGATCCAAGAGAACGTGCCGAGCGGGGGGGATCGAACTCGAGGCGCCTGCCTTTTTCGACATCGCCGGACCCTCCTCCGTGTGCTTATCTCTCTCTATTCATTCCTCATCTCATTGCACGTGCTCTTCGGGAAAAAACACGACTTGTCATGCGCTTGATAATGTCGTTGCGAACCCAATTCTTGAACTTCGAGGTCCTAGGAGTATCACGTGTCACGACAGAAAAGAAAACGCATCATCCTTCGGAGAAAAAAGGCACGAACAAGGACTCAATGATTTGCATTCCGGAACATGCTTTTTGGCCCCATCCAAATCACGATTTTTCAATGCCTCCTCTTGCCAAAGTAAAAACACGTGACCGGCCAGTAGGCAGTAGCTATCGCAAGAATCCTGCCACGCACTTAATCGTCGTCGTCGTCGTCGTCGTGCGCGCTTCGATTAGATTACCATATAAAGTTTGCTTATTTATCCTTATCCAGAGCACGAATGTTTACCTCAACCGAATCCCATCTCTTATCTCTTTACTCACCCGCACTATTTATTCATTCCTATCTCCTCCTCATCATCAGCAGTGTATCACTCATAAGAATTTTCTATGCTATCTCTCTGATTTTTTGCCTTTCTACGGTCTCCAAAGATGGGCAACGTTGACTTTCTGTCTTCCCTTCTTCTGGTGGCATTCCTGCTTGCTGGTGGTGTGTGTGCACATGACCATCAGGGCATTGGTGTGTATGAGCTCAGGAGCGGGTACTTCACCGTGCAGTTCACGAACTATGGCGCAACCATGCTCTCTCTTGTTCTCCCCGATAAGAACGGTACCTTTTACCACACCCTCTTCCTCTCTCTAGTTTGATCGTGTTCAGGTTCATCGTTCTTGCTTGAATAATGCCGTATTGCCGTGTGTTTAGCGGGCATTGATACGCCATTGCCATTGTCTCTTGTAATTGCTTTCACATGGCCTTCCGAGGTCCGGGCCGTGTGCCTTGTTTCGAATGTTGCCGGTTGTTTTTGGTGCGCTGCAGACAATTTTTTCACACCTTCTCTTTCTCAGGTAAATGGGATGATGTCGTTCTTGGGTTCGATTCGCTCGAGAGCTACAAGGTATGGCCTTGCCCATCGTCTTTTGCATCACTGACTTCTCTGGCATCAGTGACTTGATAAGATCAGTTGTGTGGATTGACCAAAATCAGTGTATACTAAATGGCACGGAATTTTCAACAACTCAATTACTGCGCATTCGTGTTGAACCTTCGCAGTCAAGAAAGCTGGCGGATCGATAGAAAATACTATTTTGACGGGTCCATATTTGTTGAATCTGCTGCAGAATGATACTACCTACTTTGGAGCCGTAGTCGGACGTGTTGCCAACAGGATCGGAGGGGCTCGGTTCACTCTGAATGGGACTGTCTACAAATTGGTAGCCAATGATGGCAATAACACTCTTCATGGTAGCTCATATCTTTCCCTCACCTACTGTACTCTCTTGTCCGTGATTTGTCTCTTAATTTAGTTTGGCGTAAACTGTTGTTCGGGCTTGAAACTTTTTCACAATTGAATATCAGGTGGCAGCAAAGGGTTCTCCGATGTTATCTGGAGTGTGCATAGTTATGACACAGAGAGTCATGTTACATTTACTTATGACAGCTATAATGGTGAACAAGGTAAAATCCTTTTCTCAATTTTTCTATGATGTTCTAGACGTTTTGTATGTTCTCCAACCACTTAACTTGAATCCTAGTCTGCTTTTCAACCAAATCATTACTTTTGTTTTGCTTTTATCCGATTTGAGGTGCTGATATACATATTGTTTATGTGACTGGCGATGAATGATCTGAACTCCAATCCATAATTTCTGCTAAGTTTGGTTCTTAGTACAATATCCTTGAAAAGGCTATGCCTAAAGAGATCAAATGAGATGTGGTTGGACTTTTTTTCGCTCCGCAGGCTTTCCCGGTGATCTGTCTGTATACGTCACCTACATGCTCATTGGGAACAACAAGTTAGGAGTCAAACTGGAGGCCAAGGCACTCGACAAGTCGACTCCGGTGAATCTCGCCCTTCACACCTACTGGAACCTCGCAGGCCAAAACAGCGGCAACATCCTCTCTCACGATATCCAACTTTTCGGGTCGAAAGTCAGTCCAGTTGACGATACTCTTATACCCACGGGTGAAATCCGCGACATCCGAGGATCGCCGTACGACTTCCTAGAACCTCGCACGATCGGGAGCCGGATCAATGAGCTTCCCTATGGGTATGACATTAACTACGTGCTAGATGACACCGGAACCAAGCACTTGAAGAAGGTCGCCGTGGTGCAAGATAACCTCTCAGGGAGGAAGTTGGAACTGTGGAGCAATCAACCCGGAGTGCAGTTTTACACAAGCAATCAGCTTGATCACGTGGTAGGGAAAGGCGGATTTGTTTACATGAAATACGCCGGTCTTTGCTTGGAGACTCAGGGCTTCCCAGATGCAGTGAATCACCCAAATTTCCCCTCGCAGATAGTGAATCCCGGACAGCATTATGAGAATGTCATGGTCTATAGGTTCACAGCTTATTAAAATCCAGCTTGGTTAGAAGTTGTTTTTTGAGACATTCTCAGGACCAGTAACTTTTCCCATTATTTCCTTGTCGATGTTATCGACCTATCGCGAGCCATATATTTATGTTCATTTCTGGCGGAGAGCGATGGTTATATGCATTCAGGAAGAATATTTGCTATGCACACTGATCTGGTCCAATTTATGAAATTTCAGAAAACTGGTATTGATAACTTATCAATCTTTTGACATCAGCATGGAAGCTTTTGTTGAATTAGATCCACCTGTCTATATTAGATAGTCTATCCAATTGCCAATCTTTTAACATCACCAGGCCATGATGGAACTGGCCAACCAATTTATTGGTCTGATAATAGTAGAAAGAGACTAGACAGATAGATAGCTAACTACCTAAATGATTGAGAAGAGAACTTGGTTACTAGATATCTCATCACATAGCAGAACAGACTTCATAACGAGTCTTCGTTTTGGTATGAGACTTGCCAGAAACATGGATGTTCAAAGTCTCTTTATCATACGGAAAAAAGGGAACCTTTCAAGGGTTCTGTGTTGTCAGGATCTCGGGACTTCGAAAATCTCCTTATCGGATTCATCAGAGGGAACTGTTGTTCTCGCAAACTAAGAAGACCAAGAACCGCAAGAAAAGGCTTATAAAGCATTTCAATTTGCCCATACGGACCAGAATACAATGAAAAACTTGTGTGTAGGAATACCTTAGCCAATCAAAAAAGAAATAATGCTAAACTTTAATTGTCTGTTGAACAACTACTAAAGATGAAGGCCAACAACCTCATGATTGAGATTGACCTTAGAGATTACTGCAAGAAAAGAAACCTAACAGGAACTTTTTTTTTTTTTTTGGTCGAAAGCAACCTAACGGGAACTTGAAAAGGACTATACGTGCAGATATTGCTCCCGAATTCAAATCAATGTCAAACAATTGATTAAAGCCACTACTCCTTGTCAAGAAAGGCTGCGAATGACATAGGCATTGGAAACCGACACAATGGACAGAGATTGCTCCTCTGCAGCCAATTCACAATGCATTCTTCGTGATAGTTGTGCAAACAGGGCATCTGAACGGCTTCTGATCCAACCATAACGCGGTCCAAACAAATCACGCATTTTTCCTCCGACCCTCCAACTTTGACTTTCTCTAAAGCCTGGATCGATGACCAGCTCGCAGCCCCCAATACGCCTGCACTAGCGCTCATCGGTTCGGCCTGTGCCTCAGGAACAGGCAATGTCTCTCCATTGACTTCTTGAACTACCCTTATGGACACTACCATTGGAAGAGTCCTCAAGTCCTTGTTTACTGACGCATTGGCGATCGACCGAGCTGCTTCATGGATTTTCCTGATCATGAGCGGCTGAACATGGTATGGCACGTCCACCTGGGAGAGCATGCTGGAGATGGTCGACCAGGATGTGGCGTCTCGTATCAGATGGTCACGGCTGTGCCTGAAGGGCTTGTAAGTGGTGGGGCTTATATGTGGATTATTGCTGCTATCAGCATCATCACTCCCGATCCTTACATACACGAAATTTGCATAGATTTCGATCAAGAACTCATCGCGTTGCGAAAGGGTCTCCTCGGGCACAGAAACTTGAGGCTGCCATGCCTCACAGAGATGTGGAAACATTGTTGTGCTTGCCATCTTTCTTGAGAGAGAGAGAGAATTGTTTTTTAGGCACTTGTGGATAGTGAACGGTATATATTGGATCTTGGGAGCATTACTTTGGTCGAAATTAATCAACCAATCAGACAGGTAAGTAGTGACTTTGAAGTGAAGCAGGAGAACGTAGTAATTCCAGTTAGGGATGTTGGTGTTGGTGTTGGAGTTGGTGTTGGTGTTGGATTCGGAAAGACCGTCGCTTTCAGACCGAGTTTTAATCTGTTTCTTTGGTTTCTGCCAACAATTTAATAAAAGTGGGGTATAACATGGAACAGAATCACGCAATTTGATAGGGTCGATTATAATATGTCGTTAAATTAAAGAATCTTGCTTGTTTTTTTTTTTTGTTCTGGTAGGCGTTGACTTCCACTTATCTGTTCATAATTGAGTTGGTTGACTGATATTTCACCAATTTTAATGGCATTAAAAAAAGGAAAGGTTTCTTACTGCCTTTCAGAGTTCTTGAATGGGCATGGTCGTGTCGGATGCGGTTCAAGAAATATACGTGAAAAGCAAGAAATAAGGTAATTCATGTGAAATAAGGCGAAAAAGAAACAAGAAACTCAGGATGAGCATTGACCCCCCTCTCCACAATGTTTGACCCTTCTTTTCTTTCGCATTTGCCCTTTTTGCTGCTGGTTGGTGTTAGAATTACAGCGGGCCAAGAAAGAACATAAGGCACTGATGGAGGGAGGGAACCATATGATCTTGAAGAATGGACTTGTTGTGTCGAACGAGTGAGATTCTGAGTAAATTCATTTGCCAATTGCATCTGTAAACACAAAAGAAAAGGAACTAATTCTGCTGTAACTACAAAACAGCATCCATGTTCCGAATTGCAATCCCTAAACCGATGTTCTTTACACAGCCAAATTTTCAGGCTTTTTTTTTTTCATCTTTTAAGTGATTGTCGAGCTTTCAATCTTGTCAGGAATCAGGATCTATGCACACTTTCGTCTACTTCGAGAAAACTGCTACCAGGAACCTCCTTAGTAACTCCTCTTTGCTTCATCTCCTCTCTTACTTCTTTCACGACATCCCACTCAGCCACCGAAGCGCACAGATTCGACATTAGCACGTAGTCCTCGCTACTTTTAGGCCTCGATTCATGTACATGATGCATAATTTGACTCACCAGTTCGGGGCGTCCTTGGCTTTGACAAGCCAGGAGGAGCATACGCCAGAGAATCATATCTGGTTCAACTGGCATATTCGCCACAAAGTCAAATGCATCCTCAACTAGCCCAGCTCTACATAATAGATCCACCATGCAGCCGCAGTGCTCCATCCATGGCTTGATATTATATTCCTTTATCATTAGATCGAAACATTTTCTTGCATATTCTACCAAACCGGCATGGCTACAAGAGAATAGTACACAGAGGAAGACGACCCCGTCAGGTTTTAAGCCTTGCCTCTGCATTTGAACGAACCTCATCAAAGCAGCCACGCCGTGCCCGTGCATTGCTAGAGCCTGAATCATAGTGGTCCAAGTTATTAGTGTTCTCTCCTTCATCCCATCGAACAATTGACAGGCCTTCAGGACGTTACCACATTTTGCATGCATTCCCATAAGTGCATTAGCCAGAGCGGTCCTCTCCCTTTTAGGTCCGCATTTCTCAACTATTAGAGCAATCCATTCACCGAGTTCAGAGCTTCCCAACTCCGAGCACACCGAAATAACACTCAACAGAGTAACCTCGTCCGGTCTTACATTGGCAGACTCCATTTGTCTATAAACAGACAATGCTTCATTAAAATAACCGTTGCATGCATAGCCATCGATCATTGTAGTCCACGAAACAACATTCCTCGTAGCCATCGAATGGAAAATCCTGCAAGCATTCGATAAAGAGCAGCATTTGGAGTACATCCCTATCAGGGCATTCTGAACAAAGACATCCAGATCGACATCGTTTTTTAGCAAATAACCATGGACAGATTTCCCTTCTCTCGAGGCCTTTAGCGCTGAACAAGCAGAGAGAATGCTCACTGCAGTCACTTCATTCACGCTAACATTGTCACAGACCATAGCGCGAGCAACTTCAAGCGCTTCCTTAGGGTAGTTCCGTCCAATATATGAGGCAATAAGAGAGTTCCAAGCAACTACGTCTCTAAGAGGCATTTCGTCGAACACTTTTTGCATGCTCTGGATTTCATCGAACACCACATACATATTAAGGAGGGCGGTCTGCACGATGATCTCCGACGCAAAACCCAGCTTAAAAATCTGGGCATGCATCAGTTTCCCTCCATCAATCGCGGGAATCGACCCACAAGCCTTGATCGCAAACAAAACAGTGTAAGAGTCCACCGCCACGTTCAGTCCCCTCAACTGGGTATACACCAAGATGGCATTTTTAGGATCGTTCCTCTCCAGGTAACCCCTAATGACAGCGTTCCACGTGAAAGAGTCGAGACCCTCGATTCCGCGAGCGACGGAATAAGCCGCGGAAGCCGCGGACGGAGACGGGCTCAAGGACAAAGCCGCGACGAGCTTGCCCGCCATGGCGGGGCTGAGGATGAGCCCCGTGGTGATCAGGTGCGCGTGGATTTGGCCGAGGCGGGTCGGGTGCCTGCATGATCGCAGGCGGGAGGCGATTTCTTGAAACGGGTCGAGGCGCTTGACGGCGCTCGGATTCAACAGTCTGGAGAAGCGCGAGCACGGCAGCTTCGGTGGCATCAGGATTCAGGCGACCTGCCATGTCGGCCCCTCATTTCTTTGGCTTCCACCTCTTTCTTGGGTCGTTCTACTTCGACTTCTGGAAGACGACGGTACAGACCGAGTTCGGATTGAGCCATGATGCGCTCGGCCGATCAGGTCCAAAGGGTAAATGAATGGAAAGACACGATAGAATGTCAAAGTTGAGGAATCACATATTGCAAATTGGACCGACATTAACTATTTGTGCCATTTTTCCTAAATTAGAAAGACTCAAGAACTGCTTGTTTTTTCTCCCACGAAATATAAAATATCAATTGAATTTCAAGAAATTATTATATATGAATTTGCGTACTGATATTAAGTGTCGTGAAAGTTTCCGGAGCTTTGATTTAAAAATAAAAGGGTGAAAACATGTGAGTTGCAAAAGTTAGAAGAAACAAAAACAAGAGGTAAAATCAATCTAGATAGGAATCCGTCATGTCCCGAGTTCAGGAACGAGTGAATTTTTCAAGGAAATTGTCTTGAGACCGCTAAAGCACGCATAAATCGCCGCCTCGAGCAAACAAAACTGCACGGGCTGGGCTTCCTCGAGATCATCCTTAGACCTAGCTCGGCGCTCGCCCATCCGAGCAAGTCCGGCATAGACCAACACGCGACGCTAGCGTCTCATCCGAGACGAGAATCGCCGACCCGGCACGTCATATGTCGCGCCATATCTGATATTTTGCTAAGATTTTGAATGGGGCAGCAAGATGTGCGATTCTATGATGAAACCTACGAGGCCACTATTCATAAGCAAGCAAATTTTGTCAAACCGGC